AGTTCCATTTTTCAAGCGAAAGTTTGATGATCATCTAAATTTTTTTTTGTATCATTGACACTTATAAATTTACAGGTAATCATGTATTGTGTTATATTATATTTCTGGAAAATTTAAAGGGTAGTTATATAATAATTTTAGATGATCTCGAGCGGTCAGATATTTATGACCGCTACTGTAATATTAAAAATATTTAATATAAATAATAATATAATAAATAATTATTAATTTATTAATCAATTCTATTATTTTAGATTTAATGATAATAAATCATTAAGAAAAATGATTGAAAAATCTACTCAGGTAATTTTCAACAAAGACATATATAAAAAAATATGTTAAGATTATGTATTTAAATGAAAGAGAAAAGAATACAAATAATTCAAAATGAACAATTTGCGATTTTGATAAAAAATTATAATGTATTAAAAGAACTCAAAAGTTTGAATTAATTTTTTAATAAAATAGATAATAAATGTAAAAGGATAGAATAAGGAATTTACAACCTTGAAATCAAGATCATCTTACATTTAAAATTAATAATATATAATGATTTTAAAACAAATAAAATTAGTAAATTGCTTTATTGGATTTATATAATTAGTGTATAAAATTTAGACCAAAAGTCATATGAATAAATTGTACTAAAAATAAAAAATTAACGTATGTATTACATAGTATTTACATTTTTATAAATAATTTATCCATTTTTATATATAATTATCTATTTTTAGTAATTATTTGTGCACATTTATGCTGTGTAATATGTGCACACAAAAATTTAATGTGCACGTGCACATTGTGCATATGAATTTTACACACTGATTATATAATTTATCGTTATTAAATAAAATTTAATAAATATTTTGTCACATGATATCACATGATTATGTTACACTATTTCCTTATTTGTTTTTATGACAAGGGGAGGGAAAGAAAAATTCTTCAGCATAAACTTTTGGTGGCTTGTTGTGACGTAATACAGCAAATAATATAGATACTTCGACAAAAATTAGTAGCATAGTGATTAACTTGGGTTTTATCATTACTCAGATTGCGCTTCTCCGAACGTAATCTTTAGGTCATACGAATGGTCGTACGATTGAAACAAATGTAAAATGAGAACTTTTGATTATCGCTCTTGGTAAAGTGGTCGGTGTTCCGAAAAAGGAAAAGTACGTGATTTTTATCGGCAACATTAACTTATTAATTTTAAAAACAACCAATAAATATATTTAAAATTCCTAAAACCTAGAAATATTTTTTTTTATTTAACTTATATACATTATTTTACTTAAAATTATTTTTCATTTCTCTTAATTTAGCCATAACTTGAATAGGATCTTGTTTACCAGTAGCTTTTCTGATAGAATCTTTATCAACTCTCATAAAAGGATTAAATTTCAATTCATCACCAATAGTACTTGGTACAGTTTGTTTATGTTCTTGTACCCATTGAATTTTTTGCTGAAGGAAATCATTATCAGGTTCAACAGAAGCAGCAAACCTTAAATTACTCGAAGTATACTCATGACCACAATAAACCTTTGTGTTTTCAGGTAACTTTGCTAAAATATTATTTAATGAATTATGCATTTGTTCTGCTGTACCCTCAAAAAATCTACCACATCCTCCAATGAAAAGCGTGTCACCTAAAAGAGTTTCTTTAAATAGTTAACTTTCTTATTTAACCGAACAAATAAATTGATAAAAATTTTAAATATTTGTTTTACCAGTAAATACAGCTTTATCTTTTTCATCTTGTAAATAAAAACTAACACTTGCGCTAGTATGACAGATAGTAAATAAAGCCTTTACATTGATTTGACCAATTTTAAATTCTTCATTATCTTTTACGATCTTGGTCACAGCTGGAATACGATTATCACCTCCATAAACAATTAAATCTTTTCTTTCTGAAAATAATTCATCATTTCCACCAGAATGGTCCTATATAAAGGATACTAAATATTTATATGTCAAATCGATCGAAATTAAACAAAACAAAAAAAAAACTTACGGCGTGATGATGCGTTGTGATCAAATGTTTGAGATTGGCACTTTGTTCTTGTACAACCGCAAGAACTTTTTTTGGTTCTACTGGGTCAACAACGGCAGCTATTATATATATGTAGGTGTTTAACGTTTAATTGACACCAGATATTAAAAAACATCAATACGAAGAGAAGAATCATAACCACAAACCTTCATTTGTTTTTTCATCAATAATTAGATAAGAATAGTTATCATCAAGAACTAATTATTCGATAAATAACGTCAATTAACTTTCAACAATGCATCGAAGACATGATCATAAAACACCAACCTGGAATTGGAATGACCTTCATATTGTTACGAACTGTCTTTCAAAAAGAAAGAAAAAAAAAGTATTTCAATAAAAAGGCATTCCTTATATAGATATTTTTATTTACATCATCGTTACCTGGAATATCATTCTTTTTTTATTCACCCACATATGATTTACACTTTTCTTGGATAAAATCTTCAATCCACTCCGCAGCATCGTGTGAAAATGAAAGAAAATTATTAAAATTATTGAAGACTATGAATAATAAACTGGAATTGGGAAAATTATTCTTTCGGGCTAATTTAGTATTACCCGATCTAACTTGCTTTTCAAGAAATTTCGTGGAACCATGTCGTATTTCTCATAAAAGGAAATATACACGGTTTTCCCATATTAGATTTAGTTGCAAAGCATTAATCCAAAATAATATTATATTTTGTTAGATTCATATCAAATTTCTAACTTATTAAATGGAGTTTACAAATCGATTACCTTCTGAAGTTTTTCTAGCAATATTTAAAGAATTCGATTCAAAAACATTGTGTTCATTATCACTAGTATCAAAAGGGTGTAAATCTTTTGCTATTGATAACCATGTTTGGAGTCAATTGGCTTTAAAACGTTGGGAAGGTAAACAAGGTATGAAAGAAATACATTCAGAACCTCATGAAATTTGGTTTAGAAAGGCAGGAACTTGGAAAAAAGTTTATGGGTTAATTGAGCAAGAAGCTAGAAGGAGTAAATTTAATATCGATGACTTGGCTGAAACTACGTGGTGTTTTAAGGTAAAATATTTGATTTAAATCACGAATTTCTGTAGGTTTGTTAATTATTTAATATTTTTCACCCCGAAAGATAGGAAATTATTAATTTTTAATTATATTTTTGAGAAAATTTATGAATAAATTAAATTCTATATTCAATAACTGCAATTCTTTTTATTGAACAGTTTAATAGTGTTGAAATTCCACATATTGGGACACCAAAATTTCATCGAAATGGAATATATACTCATCGTGAAATGATGGGAGGTCAATTACCGGTTGGTATCTTAAACGATTTAATCTCTTTTTTTGAACACGATTTCTCACAAATAATTAATCAAATTTCCCCCCTATCAAGTGGACATTTACAAGTGAAGGACAAGTTAGAGTCGATCGATTTCCTCCGTTAAAACCATATAGATCAACAACGGATTGGTCATTAAAAATGAGAAATGTTCACATTACTTTCGCATCTACAGATCATAATTGTTTTCGTAAAAAGTTACATAAATTTAATCTAGGTCTTATTGAAGAGTTGGGTTTAGATCCTTCTCAATACATATTAAAAATACCCGAACCTTCATACGGTATTTCAAATCGTTCAATTAAAGAAGATGAAGAGAATGGTGAAGAGAATGATCATGAAGATGAGGGAATTGAGGGAAATTATAATGAGGAGAATGATAATGAGGGAAACGAGAATGGAGAAGAGAGGAATGTCGCTATGGATCATATCATGGTTTTACCTTCCCGTCGTATATTTCATACTGACGACAATGGTGAAGAAATCAATCAGGCTGAAAATGTTCATAGAGATCGTTTTGTTATATTTTTTAGCTTTCCAAATTAAACATCGAATTTATTTATAGAAAGTCTAGTTATTATTATTGATTTTTATAATTAATAGAACAATCACCACAACTAATGAATTCATTAGTATACAGCGTAATAATAAATATATATTTTTTAGTATTTAACTTAAGATATTCCAAATCAGAGTACAAATATGCTTTATATACATGTATTTTTTTTAATACTAAAAATCTTGAAGAATGGTTTATTCAGTTAATAATAATACAAATTTATTGATTTTTAAATTTGTGAAGTTTTAAAGTATTGAATATTGTAAATAAATTCACTTGTAAACTTGTAAATTAACTGGTATTTTTGATTAGCCCTAAAATTTAAAGTCACGTGTCAACTAATCTATCATTGGTCGAAATTCTGCATAGAAACGAAAAAAAATTTAAAATACCAACGTACAAAGAAATTAAAATGAAATTATAAAAGGTGAAAAACGAAGATTTGAAGATGTGGAAGGAAGAAAATATATGGGGAAGAAGCTGGATGAGTGGGAAATAGATTTGAAGAGGTGGAAGGAAGAAAAATATATGGGGAAGAAGCTGGATGAGTGGGAAATAGAGTAGATAGAGGGGGGAGTTGAGTAAAGAAAATAATACGAATTTGAAGGACGCATGAACAGATTGTATGAAGAAATTGATAAGTTGGAGGATACAAAAAAGAAGTTGGAAGACCAAATGCTGTATTTACAGAAAAAATTGGCTGATTTTAATAATATAAGTAAACAAATTACATAAAAAAAATATATATATATACAAAAAATTATTTTCATTCTTTTATTTATTTATCATTTGTGGGACATAATACGTGTTTTTTTTTACAATTTATGTCAGGAAAGCAAAAGGTTAAGGAAGCTTTCCAGTTGGTTTACCGATGGGAGAACCACCTCAGTTAGTTATGTATGCTAGCTGGGATTTCCAATTGAGTGATGATTTACGAACAATGCTTGCAAGGGAATTTCCTAAGCGTTACTGTGAATATCAACGGGACAAAGTTCACATGCAAACCTATTTGTTTCTGGCTGGGGCCGGTACTGGCAAGTCGCGAAACGCGAACGAATTTCATATGTCCGTTTTGAATTCATTATCAGAGCACACAGCATTAAGAGTTCATGTAGCCAATGCTTGGGTTTTTCGTATCAGTTTCGAAAATGGTTCATCTGTTGAGATAGGAATTACTGCCATTGGCACTAGGATGCTTTGTGCTTTGTCAATGTCTTGCTCAAAATTTGGATCCGTAATTAACGATTATGAAGCACCTATCCATCTGATATTTTTCGAATTAATTGTAAGAAAAAATTATACTATTTTTCTGGTTGTGGATGGCTTAAACCAATTAATGACCAAACAATCAGATGGAACAGACAAAAACAGCGATTTTTACCGAACACCACAAATATAGGGGATCTTGCAATGAAAAAAGCTTTTTGTCTTCCATACATCACAGCAACTGTTTTACCTCCATCACTTCCTTTCTGGCTAGTTCACATCGAAAACACCTTGAGCTACCAATTGCTAGCCTCAAACCTCCACAAATTCTATCAAGGGCAGTATTTTCTAAAGAAAACATTCTTGTTAAGATTCGCATTAGTGAAAATTTATTATCTATTAATATCAAAAATATAAAAATACTACTATTTAATAGATCTTAATAGTCTAAATAATTTTTATAATAAATAATTTTTAATTTTAAATATTATTATTAAACTATGGTGGCTGTCATCTATAAACCGCATTAGTCCGAAATTTCGATCGATCCTCACGTGATATTCACATGATTTAGATCTACCCCAGTATCGCCAGAAAAATATTTTACCCCCGGCCGGCATTACGAAATTATAAAATTAACCATGTGACGAATATGGTGTGACAAATAGGTTTTTAAACACCGAAAAAATTCTAAGTTTCTGGTATATATAGTAAAATTAAAAACTTGAGGGTGTGATACAGGATGATTAATTATTGAAGTCACGTGGGGGTGAAAAAATTTCTGAGAAAGATATGATTTAGTATTTATTCACGTGATTAGCATTCATTCACAAAACCTTGCATTTATATCGCAAAGCTATTAGCATTTTATTATTGCATTTTATTTAATTCTGCCAATTTACCAGTTATTTTTTTTTATATAAATCTATGTAATGTCACGTCTTCCTAGCAAATTTTCTTATTATAATTATACTAATAGATTCCAAGGTTGCAGGAACAACACATTGCAAATCTGATTAAGAATAATCACAGTTCTCTCAAACATATCTTTTTACCTCCTAGTATCTTTCAATATAGTTTAATTTATAGTGAAATTTCAGAAAAATATACATTTATATCCAACTTTAATATTGTTTTTTCTAACATGTTTTTTTGGAATAGAAAATCTGGCTGTAATTAAATGATTCTTCATATACAACAATCTATCTGATTTATATCTTCAATCTTATTCTTATATAATTTATAATCAGTATTTAACCTATCTTTTTACAATCCATACTTAATTAACATCTGTTTTATTTTCTTTAGTTCATTATTTTCATTAACTATTAATTTATGTTGATTATCTGATTCAAAAACTGTGTTTCTCATTTTCAATTACTTGCCTCTGGATTTAGATTCATCCTACTTATTATAAATGCATTAGACCTATATAATGCATGATTTGAATTATTATTAAACACAAACAAGGTAATACAATTTGAAAAATTGCTTCAAAAATTGGTATAACCTTTTTTTTCACTTATTCAATTAGATGTTCATTTGTTTAAAAACCTTTCTGATCTTTTTATAGTTAAAGATAAACTCGAACTTCTAAGGTATAGAAAGGTTTTGTTGATACTATTATAAATTCAATTTAAGTTGATCACATTCTTCTGTCAAGAACAAACTAATCATAATAGAATAACTATTTTCTTTCTTATATAATGGCAATTCTTTAGATTTTATCTATATATCTAGTTTTTTATCATTTGAATAAAATATATACTCATAATATGTTACGAGAATTATTTTCTTTTATTAGGTTTTAATATTAGTGATATCCGTTCTATATTTTCATCTTCATACTTTACCATATTTTTTTTGTAGCTATAGACTTTATTCATAAAAGTTTACTGATAACAAAAATTGACAAAAAAGAAAAAAATATATAATAATCAAAGATAAATTAAATACTATAAATAATATTATAATAAAATCTAAAAAAGTAAAAATTTTTAATTAATTAATCATATACATTTTTTTTAATTAGTGATAATGAATTATTATTTGATTCAAAAAATAAAGAAGAGTTAGTAATAAATTCATTAAAACTATTAGCTAGTACTATTTAACAGTATATTACAAATTATGTATCATAATTTTTAATGAAAAAAGATATGCTATATTTGAAATTTTACTTTTACAAAATGTTAATTTTAAATAAATTATCCTTTATTTTTCTTGAAAATTAAAAAACAAGAATATTTTTGCTTTTATTATTTCAGCTTTAAATTATCAGACTGACAAAAAATAAGTGATAAAATTTTATCAAATATACTAAAATTTTAACATAAATAATTACAAAATAACATAAGATGATAAGATTAATATAACTGTAACTTTTGATAAATGGACTAACATTAAATAAGAGTATTTATTTGATATTATTTTATTAAATTTAATAGAAAAATTTTTTATTTGAAATATAAGTAATATTAATGATAAAAGATTAAAAACTGATGATATAATCAATCATATTAAAAATAATAGTTAATACTGAAAAAAAATATCAAAATAAACTTTTATTTTAGATTCAGCAGGTAAATATGCAGTTATAAGATATATATTTATTATTTTTATAATTTAATATTTATATAGACTTTCACTTTATTAGTTTAGAATAAAGTATAGAACTACAGTCAAACCTCAATATACTAATATAATATATAATGATATTTGCTTATACTGATAATTTTTTTCCTCCCGTTTTACTATTAATAAAAAACCTTATTATATCAATATCTTATATTATTTTATGATATAATATATATATATTATCTTTTAATCTCATATATAGTAACATATTAGAAAATCTGATTTATAAATTAATATATCAATATACTAATTATTTAAAATTAAATCAAATGCATAATGCCCATTTTTTCTTTGTTTTCTTTCAATAATGTCAGACAAAAAAAAACAGCTCAATAACCATTTCAGCTAAGAAGATGAGTTACTTTAACAAAAGCACAAAAACATCAACTTTGTTTAGATTTTCAAAAAAAATCACAGTTAACCTAAAAACAACTTGCTATTTAATATTGTATTAAACAAAATATTGTTTTAGATATTTTAAGAAATAAAGGTAAATAGTTACATATATATATAAACTCAGAAAAAAGCAAAAATAAAGAGACAAGCCTGTATAATTTCCACAAGTAGAAGAAGCTATAGCATTATGGGTTATAAATGCACTTGTAGCAGAACTTACCATTAATACTGATATTTTACGTATAAAAGCAGAATTTTTCGCTAAGCATTTTAAAACTAATAACTTTTTAGCTTTTAATAGATAGATTTTTAATTTAAAAAATATAATAATATAAGAGAATATACTAAATTAGAAGAGGCAGCAAGTGCTCTGCTAGAACTTTAGATAAGAAAAGATAAAAATTGCATGAAATTATTAAAAGTATAATTTGAACAATGTTTTTAATTGTAAATTTTTTATATTATAAAAAATTTAAACTTATACATATTAAATTTTCATTTATTTTAGGTTTGTATTGAAATCTTGAAACATCAAAGACATTAGCAAAAGGGCCACTTTCTGAAAAAAAAATCTAAAAAAAGTGTTACTATTCTTTTTACATGTAATACAACTGGATTAGAAAAATTAAAACTACTTTTATTTATACTTACCAAAATCTATGAGCATTAAAAGATAAGAAAAAAGAAGAATTATCAGTTGATTATTACTGGAATTTGATTGCATAGATGCAAGTTTCTATATAGAATAAATATCTTAAAAAATTGAATATGCAAATGCAATCATAAAATTGCAAGATTCTTTATTAGTCGACAATGCTCCTATGTATATTATAAATAAAGATAATAATTTAACAAATATGACTATACACTTTTATGACCTAATATAACCTTTCACTTGCAACTTTATAATGCTGAAATTATTAATTCTTTTAAAGTTAGTAATTTATTTTTTTATCACTAATATATATTTTCTATATTAATTTATAATGTAATTTTTTATTAATTTAGATACAGTATTGAAAATTACTTATTAAAAACAGGATTGAAGAATATGAAATTTCACAAGAATTAAATAAAAAAGCAATTTCTTTAAATATTAATGATGCTATTAATTTTAGCAATAATGTTTGAAATTCTGTTAGCCAAAAAACAATTAATAATTATTAGAAGCATACAAGAATTCTTCTATGTGATGAAATAGATGAAATTGATAAAATTGAAGATAATAACAATCAGGCATTTTATAATGAAATAGAATTACAAAATCTTATTAAACAATTTCCATTTAATGATCTTATGGATATTGAAAAATTTTTTTATCTTGACGACTATTTAAAAATTAATAAAGGATTAACAGACAATAAAATTATATCTATAGTAATAAAAAAATGATAAATCTGAAGTAGAACAAGATGATGAGCCTTTAGCAGTAATCTCAAAAAAAGAAGCTTTGAATCATTTAGATAATCTTGTTATATTTTTTGAAAATTTATTAGATATTTCTATTAATTCAAATAAATTAAATTTATTACAGAAATTGAAATATTGGGTATTAAAATCATATATTAATAATTCAAAACAAATTATATTAGATAGTTTTATCTAAATTTTGTAATACACAATAATATTCCTAATAATAAAACATTACTAATAATAATTGTATAAATAATTTGAACAGTAAATTTATGAAATTTATAATGCTTTATTAAAAAAATTTAAGTTTACAGTTGAAATAGTGAAAAATTTTATATACCAATACTGATCAAACATTTAATATTAATATTGGTATATAAAATTTTTTATATACTGATGATTTAATATACTAATACTATTTTTCTAAAACAGTAGCATTGGTATATAAATATTTAACTGTATATATAATGAAAAATATTTTAGTATCTGCTCGCTCAATAATTAAGTTGATGCTGATTACCTTTTATAATTATACAAAATCCTATATAAAATAAATATTAATATGAATTTTTTTTAATTAAAATCATTTTAGACTTAATAACAAATCTCATTTTTTTAGTTTATTATTTTAAAAAATCTATTTTCATCAGAAGATTATGTAAATAGAATTTCTTAATAAGATCTTCTTATTATATATGATTTATCAGTTAAATCTAATAATAAAAGAAATTTTTAAAAAGTCAAATACTTATTAATACATTTCAATAAAAACTGTTTATTAACTTATTTTACAGGACTATTAAGAAATAAATAAAAGATAATATATAGCAAAATAGTAGTTTTAATTACTTTAAGTAAAATGTGATAAAATAGTTACTACTTTTACTTTTATAATATTTTGAAAACAAAAGCAATACTTAAGATTTGCTATTTATTTATTTAAAATTATATATATATATCTTATATATTTTATATTAAATTTAAATTTCTTTAAATGTTAGTTTAAAAGTTTATATTTTAATGTTTTAAAGATTCTTTTATATTTAAAAATGATTATATAAAACAAAGATATATATCAAATTTTACAGATAAAAAATTTCTTTCTTTTAATATAATTACTATTATTATTAATGATCAAAATTTTTGAAATAATTTATATAAACTTTAAAATATGATTCTAATATTTTGTATAGCATTCAATAACTATAAAAAATATGATTTAATTATATGAAGTAGTTCTTATTTTTAGATAAATAATTAAAGTATTTTTAGATCATTAAGATAATAATTTTTTTGATAAAATGATTATCTGACTTGAACATTGATGAAAATAATAGAAGCAATCCTTTTTACTTTAATTATTAATCTTTTATTTATAATATTATCTTATATTTTTTAATAATAATATATCTAATTTTTCATATATTCATTTTGGTTAATAGATTAGTTTTTATTTTTATATTTAATTTGATATATCATCACAATATATTTTATATGAATTTCTTTTATATCAATAAGAAATATATCCTTTTGATATTCAAATATTTAATTAACTTAATGAAAATATAATAGATTATTAGAATTTGACAAAAGACAAACATTTGAATTATTGCATTTTACTCTTTATTTATATAGAATTTGTATTAATTTAACCTTAATAAAGAAGCTTTAGTTTATTATAGGATTTTTATACTTAAAATACCAAAATCACCTTTATATAAGTAAAATTTATTTATTTTTAATATTAATATTAAAAACTCAAAAATAATGATCATTTTTTGTATTTACTCATATTTTATATTTTTAATTTGATTAAAAAGTAATAAAGTATTTAGAAGAGCTAATTGAGAAGTGATATATTATATAAAGAAAATAATTAGAAATTGAAAAATTTTGAAATCATTATAAATGAAATCATATAGTAATTTTTATTTATGATCAAAATTTCTGATAGTAAAAATAGTGATAATAAAGTATTATATAATTTTGAAATAATATATATTTGATTAAATTTCTAATTAGAATTTTAATATCAAATTAAATTATTTATTTAATAAACTGATATTATGTAACGACGCTGCAAAGAAAGTTAAAGAATACGATCGCCAATATTTAGTGATGACAAAAAACTATAATGACAGAAAATCTGAAATTAAAAAATAAAAAATCTAATATAATTAATTTAATAGAATAATAAGCATGCATAATTCAAAATTGGATTGGTATAATAGGAGAGAAAAATTATTTGAATAGAAAAGAATCTTTAGAATTTATAGCTGTAGATTACTATTCATCTTGCTGAAGATTCATTTGTTAAATGGAATCTTAAAGATATTTTTAATAATAAATTAAAATCATCTACTTTATAAATATATTAATTAACTTAGATTTTAATTAGATCGCTAGTCAAATTTATACAAATATATTATATCTTATTTCATTTTATTGAATAAAACTAAACGTAATAAAATATTCTCTTTTATTCAATTTTATTTATAAGTTATATAAATAAAACAATTTTATTAAAGTTAGTAATATAAGCTAAAGATAAGTTGTTCAATTTGTTGTGAATAGATATTGTGAAATAATGTTTTTTTATAAGGGTAAGAAAGGAGATGTAATTGTATCACAAAAGAATTTAATATTCTACTGGTTAACTTTATATATGAAAAATGATTGGTGAACTAAATAACTATGTTATTTATCATTTGATTTCAGAATAATCCAAATGATATGTGATTTGTGATTCAAGTCATTTGATGTCATTTAAGTCATTTATTATCACTGATAAAAACAATACTAAATTTTACTAATTCTTTTAATTATTACTAATTAATCTTTTGTATTTATAATAATTGTATTTAATTTAATTTATTTATTTATAAAGCATTTAAATTTTTGAATTTTATTTTTAAAAAATTATTTATTTATATAAATTGAATTTATTTATTTAAAATATTAAAAATACATATTTATTAATTTTAAACATTAATCCTATTTATAAATTTATAATAATCTCGACTTATTGGTTTAAATGATAAGGATTATTAATTTTATTGTTTTATTTTTTTTTTTTTTTTTAAAAAAAAAAAGGAAAAAAAAAAATTTAATTTTTTTTTTAAAAAATTATATATAACAAAATATGGATATTCTCTTTAATATAATCTTTTTTTTTTTCCCCCATTGCATAATTGAATAAAGGTGGATGAATTTTATCTCTAAAAAAAAAAAAAAAAATGAAACCAAAAAAATGTACATTTGATGTTTGTTTTGTTGTGAAGTATAAAAATAATTCTCTACGCTAAAAAATTTTCATGCCTGCCTTCTAACCCTTTTTTTTAGTTGATAGTCCTTGTAATCCTCCCATTTCTTTCACAGAAATGAGTATTCGCTCCAAATATTTAATCGAATCTATTGAAAATTCGCTTGAAGAAATAAACATTAAATCTATGTTTTTAATTCTCATCGGTCCAAGTATTATTAACATCGGTAAACCTTCTCCAAATAACTTTTAATTCTCTTTTTGCTAAACCAAATTCATCATTACATTTTAATAAAAAACATTTATCAACACCTAAACAACCAACTAGATCTAATAATTTAAGACCTTCACATGCTTCAATAACATCTCTCACACCTTCCTCACTCACACCACGACAATAACTTACTCTTAATTCTCTTAACTTTAAACAATATCGTGAAATTGAATGCATCGATCTATCACTTACTTTCTCACAATTTGTTAAATCAAGAGTACGTAATCTATCTCCACATATCGTAGCAATTTTGTTAATTGACGCATCAGATAATGAAGTATTCCATGCAAGTGAAAGGTTCTGTACTTTACCACAATTTGGTATAATAGATGATAAACAAGTGTCAGATCTACTTCCACCTGCAAGGTTTAATGTACGTACATTATTGAAAAATGGTGATAATAATTTAGTTAAATAACCATTAGTGATGCCTTTAACAAAACTTAAATTAAGTGTATGAAGGTTTTCTGTATGAATTAATGGTAATAAACGTAGAAGATGAGATGAAAGTGATGCATTATTACGATCATGCTCCGTTAAATACGTTAAATCCAATGTACGAATATAAGACGCATAGGGATGAACAACAGTTGATTGTTGTTGAGAAAACTTTGATGATGATGATGATGATGATGATGATGATGATAATGATGATGATGGAGAGTTCTCTATAGTTTTAATGAATTTGTCCAGTGAACGCATATGAGTGAATTTTGGGGAATTCCAAAGGACGTTTGTTCCTATGGCATTCCATTGATGATTTACTAGAATGCAAGAAAAAAGTGATGGTTGATGTAAGGTACGCAATATTTCGAAGACGTGATATATTAATTCGGTAGGACATCGAGCACATGGAGGTATGGAACTATTAACCACTTTCAATGGTAAATGAGAAGTTTTCTTTCTATTCTGTTGTTGAAATATCGAATCCTGAGTAATAAATTCATCATCTATTAAGCTATGATCATTTGTGACTATGGTTATAATAGTGACATTAGTATTACTTATTTCTTTAATAGAAATTGGCGTGGGAGGACGTGAAGTTGGCAAAGGTGTAAGATAAGGTACATCGACAGGGTTAGGTGAGGGAGGACGTGAAGATGGAGGAGATGATAAAGGTGTTTGTAATTGAGATGGTGCCTCTAAAGATGATGTTAAATGCGACGACTTTGGGGTAAGCAGCGGCGAACTAGGTGGTGATTGAAATAACTAACGATCCCAATGACGAAAATAGAAAATTGAAAAATGCATCAGCTCAAATGATTGTACCTCAGACGAACACTCGAACGATCGAAATCTAATTACCTCAATATCATCTTTAGCAGTTGTGCCAGTTTGCCGTCGTTTAGAAACTTTCTTTCTTTCCATTCTGTCTTCTGGAATCATCCTCTTTTCACCGTTTGCCATTTACTGGTCCAACGAAATTATATTTTATTCGTAAATCAGGGTCTTTTGGGATGAAAAAAAAAACTAAGGGATCTAGAAAATAGTAAAGAAATAACTCAAATATTCTAACGAGTTTGAAGTTCTTCTTTTGAATCTAAATGAATAGTTTCAAAAAAGGTCAACGACGACCTAGAGGCGACAACTAAATAATCTGAATTATTCCAACGTTAATAAGTATTAAGAATATATCGAAGTCGCCGTATCCCACCCAAAAGTATCTAACCCTTTTGACAAGGGGGAAAGCACCTAACCCACAACAGAAACGAATTACTGAAATAAAAAAAAGTTAGCAAGGTTTTTTAAAATAAAAAAATTCAAAATAATGAGGGGAAGTTAAAAGTGAAATTGTGAAACTTTGGAGAGTAAAATTGAAAGATTGGTAAAACGAGAAAGAAACAGCAGATAAATAAAGAGCAACAACGGCAAAGAAAGAGGACAAAAGTTTAGTTGATACTATCAAGTATAGAAAATAATGAGGAAGCACAACAGCGGTCAGGGTTTTCCTTTGGGTGGTGTTTAGTGGTGTTTATTAAAATGGATATGCAACCATCAAATTAACACGATGAGACGCAAGGAGGTTTGAAGAATTTGCATCCTTGGCTACACAAGATAAACAAAATAAGAAAAGTGGTGGTGAACTGGGAATTGTTTTAATTATTATTTTTTTATTTTTATTCGATTCAAACGATGACGGGCAGTCAACCCAAGAACACATGATCCGTGTTACATAATTATCCTTATATAATTTGCCGTGTTTCAAAGTTCAACACCAAATATTTTTAACAAAATGAGGATATAAAAAAAAAAAAAAGTTGAGAAAGAATACGTAGAAATGAAATTCCGACGCATAGTTAATCGTGTGATCAATCATAATGATAATTTGTACTTGAACCTGATTTTCTCAGGTAAGTATGAAAGATGTGCATTCTTACTAAGCTAAATATATACATTAATGGTTAATGGAATGTTTATTTAAAACCTTCATGATCTGCATTTCTAAAAGTATTTTATTTTTCAAATTTTCTAGTAATCATCTGCCAATATGACTCATTATATATAAATTAAGTATAAGTAAAACCCACTTTCCTTCCGGTATTTTCAATTGCCACAATCTTTACAAATTCAGCTGCTCGAATTTTTAATCCTTTAATACAAAGGTTTCTCGAAAGGTTCCTATGATGCGAATGTAAAATCAAGGAGCAGCCTAAGTTCTGGATATCATCATTATTCGAAAAGTTTTCAATTCTCTTGACGATCGATTTGAAAGAACGAATGGACGGGTTCAAATTATCATTGTATATCAAATTTGCATGAATCTCTTCCTTGTTTGAAACGATCATAGTATAATCAAGTTCAAATTGGAAAGCGTTGTTAGAAAAGTCGATCGATGGGGACAATTCGGTATAGAATATGTTACGTCGAATGGTTGAACCTTCGTTAAAATGACTCTCCACATCCTATCGAATAAAAATACCTGAATGAGAAGTTCATGTTGATCGTCTGTAATCAAGATTACTTACAATCTTTATCTGTGTGTTTTCAATCATCGTCCGCAATTTTTCATAAATCATAATTAATATTTGTTCATTCCAGGTTTTTGAAACTTCTCGCAAACGAAAACTCTCGGGAATTCTAGATTTCACTTAATTAGTTCAATTCAAAAAAAGGTTTCAAAAATTTATTTATCAAATGCAACGATTTTTACCCATGAAAATGTAATAAATCTTTAAGAATGTATAACCATATTTCGGTTGGAAATGTTTCAACTGGCAGGATTGAGAACGGGATTACTTGAATGTCAGTATTATCTGTCATCTTTGTAAAAGAAATTTTTGTAGGCGAGTAAGTTACGAAAGTTTCTTTCTAGTACAGTAATTCTTTTTTTTTTTTCAGCGAGCAAATAAAACTTTTAGTGGGTTTTATAATTATATATGACGTTAACGAATGAATAGGCACGTGATTCGACATTTTAATTCTTCCCCACACTTTTTTTATTAGTTCATCTTTCTTCGGATAAATTATAATTTTTCCATTGTTTATAAAAAAAAACGAAAAGGCTTGATTTGCATTAGACTAGTGAATATCTGGTAATATATTTGTTCTTTTAGAATTGATTCATGAACAATCGCATTTGATTTGCAGTGAGGGAATTTAATTGGACAATACATGAAGTTGAAAACAATTAGACAGACGAAACAGTTTTGATGATTAACAATTTGAAAATCATCATATTATGTATTCGAAATGTATCTTAATTCGGAAATTTTTTATCAGCTCAATGAATAAATTACGTAATTTATCAGTATTTATCACAGATCCAAACACGAACAGGATACGAATTTGTTTTTCCCCTCTTTTTCTGTGTAAAATATAAATTTTACTAAAAATAATATTTTTTTAACCCCTCCATACAAGTTTACGCACATAGTCCCTTATGAAAATGTGGAAAAGGTGGTTTAAAGGTTCTCCTGAACACCGAGCCTCAAGGACGTCAGCCGACGAGGAAGCTTTAGCCGATTATGTATACTCCAAAGTCATCTATCAAGCTGGTAAAATTACTAGTTATAAACATATATTTATATTATATTTAATAGGTTTTGGTTCTTTTTTTTAACTTTTGTCTCATGAAGGCGTCGATTTTGAGAGCAAACCTATGGTCATACTATGTGCATGCAACCTCCCAGATCCCACAGAAGTCGATTATGATAAAATCTTATCGTAAGTATAATTGAATCATATATAATTTTTTGTTACAAGTTACTAATATATTAAAAAAAAATAAATGATAATAATACAATCCATATAGACGAATTTTACTTAAACTCGACCTTTTTGTTGAGAGTGATTATACAGTCGTTCTCTTTATAGGTGGAGCAAAACATAACCCTGGCTGGTCTTGGATGTTTAAAGCATATAAAAGCTTGAGCAGAAAGTACATATTATTATAATATTACCTTTAGTTTATTTATTTTATTTTTTTCTTTGTTAAATTCCTTTAATTTTAATTATTTTTTCATAGATACAAGAAAAATCTTAAATCTTTGTACATAGTTCAACCAACAATGTGGGCACGTATATCACTTGACTTTATGAATGCAGTTATTAGGTAATTATTTAATTATTTTGATGATTTTAAAACAATTACTCAACTTTTTTTTTAAAAAATTTTTAATTAAATTTAGCCCGAAATTTGCGAAAAAAATTAAATACATTCATACTTTATCAGAATTAGCTAATTTTATTCCGCTTACACAAATCGACATACCGCCGGCCGTATATGAGTAAGTATTAATATATTCATGAAATTCCGAAATTTTTAATTGTACTTTTAATAAATTTATATTTCTAGATATAATTCGAAATATGAAGTTAAAATAACGTTACCACCGTCACCTAATTACGATGAAAATAAGAATTTGATGTTTGGAGTCCCACTCGAAGTTTTGATGGGATCAGAAGGCGAAAATGGACTACCAAGAGTAGTCAGAGATTGTGTCTCGTATTTAAGAGCAGAAGGTATTATATAATTTTATCTCTGTTATATATTAAGAGTAAATTTTGCTAATTATCTAAAATTTTTAGGTTTGACAGTTGTTGGGGTATTCCGCCGATCACCTGGTTCAATATTGTTACGCCAAGCAAAAGAAGCATATGACCGAGGTAGTATTTAATTTGAATCAATTAGGTTATCTAAAATATACTAATCTGTATATATACATAGGAAATCCAATTAATTTGGCGGATTATGGTGTACATATTGCAGCCGTTCTTCTGAAAATGTTCTTTAATGACTTGCCAATATCAATTTTTCCCGTGCAAACGTATGACACATTAAGACAAATTCGAGGAAAACAACATTATTTAGGACGTATAGAGTTTATACGTAGTAGCGTATTTCCGTTATTATCGCCTGCAGCGATCATTCTACTCCAATATGTTTGCTCGCTTCTTCATGAAATTTCAAAACACAAGGATATAAATTTTATGAATGCTCATAATCTTGCAGTGATGTTTGCACCTAATTTGGTACATAGTGGAAACCCAATGCTCGATGTTAGCATGTGTATGTTGAGCATAAATGATGAAACAGCCGGCGGTGGTGTCGGAATACTTATGAAGCTCTCCATAGAGCACTTTGATTTGATGTTTGAAGGTTATGAAGAGCCAAGAGAACGTATTAGAGATGTGTCAGCAGAAAGTGGAACAATTTCGATGTCATCTTCAATGACCGGATCGATTAAATCTTCAGATACACCTTTCACATATTTTAGCCCATCTGCTTCAGTAGCAAGCCATTCGAGTCCTCCAAAATATCCATCAATTCGGAGAGTACGTAGTCTTGCTGTACTTTCAACTATACCTATAAATGGTAATGGATCAGATCCTTTTCGAGTTGGAGCTGGTGTAGAAATTAGTAGTGTGAAAGTACAAGGAATGGTAAGTAGCAGTCAACCCAGTACTCCATATAGTGATATTCCAGGCTCTCCTACATCAATGGCTTCAATTGATGAATTACGCAGGGCTATGCCTTGGGCTTCTTAACGAAAAAAATTATTATAATATATTTATTTATTTATTTATTTATTGTACTTTATTAATTTCATTTAATCATTTGTATTATTTGTAGCAAATTCAATGTCATAACCATTTATAATTTTAATATCATTATTGACAAATAAATTTAGCATGTTTATACATTAAAAAAAACCATCTTGTAATTATGTCATATGATTCATCATACTAAAATTTAAACTTATCGTTACAGTGATTTTTGATTATTTATTATTTCTGGCTTTCCAGTTTTTGATTATATGCCATATTTGGACAATGTGATAGAAATATAGTTTGGAACAATCTCGAAATGCTTGGGATAAAGAAAATGCTATTACAAGAAAAGGTATAAATTAATATATATATATAGATTTATTATAATCAGATACATTTTTAAAAATATTATATTAATTTAAAAGCTTGGTATTTTTTATTGCAGTAATCATCATAGGTATTATATAACATTTAATTATTCTTCTAAATTAATTATAAACCTAATTTTAAATTTTTAATAATTTTATATTATTTTAAATCAAATCTTATCCTATTAAAATATAATCAAATATTTGTAAAAAATTATATATATATATTTATATATATTATTTTTTAGGTTTGCTAATATTAACTGAAATTAAAATCATCACAGATATTATTTTATTGATATTATTAGTGATTTTATTAGTAATACCAATTAAATAATTTGTGATTTCAATTAAATATATAAAATAAAAAATATCATGTTAAATAATGATAGAATAATGTTTATAAAAATAATAAATAAAATAGTAAAAAATAAATGAACAGAATGAGGCTTGCATTTAAATTGATCTTTTTATAATTTTGTAGATTATAAGGCTGAGTAGCAACTGAAACAGTATTATTTAAAGATAATACTGCTTTATCAAATTTATAGATGTTTAACATTAAATTATAAAATCAATGCTTTTTATTATGTGAAATACAAATTTTTTTTACCAATTAATTATTATATACTCTTTATTTATTCACAAGATAAGTTTTGCTATAATAATCATATTCTTGCCAATTTTATATTGTCTTGATTTATGAATATCTGGTATTTTTAATCTATTTGATTTCTTTTATTTCCTTTCACATTCTTATTACTAATATTTAAAAGTGACTTATATTTTGATTTTGATTATGTTATTTCTAATGAATTCTTATACTGATTTGATATTTTTTGTTTTTGAGTAAATCTAATACATTAGCAATTAAAATTTTTATTAAATTTTGTAAAACATTTGATATTTATTTATAAATTTTTATATTAATAAAGTTATTTTACATTTTGCATAATTTATTATATATATTAGCTTTTAATACAGTATTAATTACTTTTATATAAACCTATTCTCTTGTATATTATTATTTTTGATTAGCAAGATTTCAAAATAACTCAATAAAAATTTCTCTATCACAAAGTTATTCAATAAAATTCAACACCTTGATTTGTAATTTCAGGTTATTGATTATTGATCTATTTAAATTAATTGTAGTTTAACAAATTATAATAAAATTTGATTTCTTGCAAAGTATTTAAAAGATCTATTGAATCTTTTTGAATTATTAATATTGTAAAGCTTTATATTACTAAATTGAATTATATAGCTATTGAAAATATGACTTTTAAGATATTTAACTTATAATAATCTATAAATAAAAACTGCTTTTATTATTAGACCACTATTATTTATATAAAATTTTATATCATCTTGCATTTCTAATATAAATTTATAAAATATTGAAGCTATTATTTTGATTAGAGAGTTTAATTTGTAATTTTAGTTAATTAAGATTAGCATACTATAGATATTTAATAGCCTTTGAACTTATATTACGTTATCTAGTCATATCATCAATTTTTCATGATTTATAAATATAAGAATAAGAATATTTTAAAGCTCTTTTTGAAATTTATATTATACTTATAGAAATTTTAACAGTTTCACTACAATGTTTATAAAAATAAAAGCTTTTTTAATGATAATATTTAATAAAAAATTTCAAAGCTTTATCTCATATTTAAAAGCTTTTTCTAATTGTTATATCAATTCTAAAGGTTTAATATCTGATTTTGTTTCTTCTATATTTTGATCAAAGTCATAATTATTTTTTATAATAATTAGTTATTTAAAGTATAAGGTTAAGAAAAAAAAAACAAAAAAAAAATAAATTAATTTTGATTAAAAGATTATAATAGTATATTATATTTATATTATATAGGGCAGATTGTAACAAAACTA